TTCATAAAACCGTAGAAATTTCGGAGTTTCGCCTCCTAATATTTTCTCATATCTAGAGTTAAACTTTTTATATTCTGATTTAAAGAATAAGTCTCCATCGTAAAAGAAAATTAAATTCGACACATAAAAGAACTAATTTTTTGTGTTACTAGGCCACCATTTTTTTGTCTCTTTTTCATTTTAAGGTTTTTAGAAAAACGTTCTGATCAGATTAATCCAAAAAAGAAATATACATCCTAATTTCAATGGGTCTTATCCGAAAGGCTGGAAAATTTTCAATAAAATATATAGGTCCGAATTATACGTTCATAATAATTTGAAACAGTTTGATGAATGGATCGATTTGAAAAATTTAAAAAAATGCCACTTTCAAGTACCATTTTACAAAAATGATATACTTTTGAAATCTTTACAAAAATGTCAGTTTTTCAAAATTATTTTTTCGTTATATTATTTATGTTTGGATTAACTATATTCTATTAGAGTTTAATTATGAGGGTTAAAAGGGGGGGTTTAGGAGTCAAGATATAGAGTTTAAAAATCTATAATTAGTGACATTTTTGCAAATGAACACCCTTAAGTGACATTTTTGCAAATGTGCACATAAAAAATGGTATTTTTGCAATTTTTCCAATAGATTTTGATATGTATCTCTCTTATTATGAATACTTTTTTCAAATAAACGATAGGAGATTTGAACTTCTTGACTCATAAATTCCTCGGTATCTGAAATCAGCATTTAGATATTCGGATTACCACACCATTAGTAGAATAGAAATGGCAAGCTCGAACCTTAGAAAAGATTAATTAATTCTCTCGCATCCTCAACTACAAAGTGAACATTAATACTCACACTTACAGAGCAGCTTTTAACCACATAAAGGACCCATCTCCATACAAAAACTACCCAAATTACATATAAATAAACTTACAAGGACAAAACCAGTATCAAATTATTACCACATTTTTTAGATGCCCTTTTTCAGTAAAAGGAGTCCATATACTGATTGTCCTTTCTCATCTTATACTCCAACAAGCTTCCATAAGTGCGGTCCGCAACCCCGACATACAGTGCTTCTGTGTCGGGACTGAATGAAATCCCAGCTATTTCCCCAAACAGATCAATCTCTTGGGACTGAACAAACCCAGATTGCGTGTCAAAGATGTGAACAAAGTCTGCGGGCTCAGCCATGGCAAGGAACCGCCCGTCTGATGTGAACTTCAATCCTCTGATGGCTCCAATGTTTCCTTTCAAGACAGCGAATGACTTTGATGGGTTTCGAATGTCCCATAGACGGCATGTCATGTCTTGGTTTCCCGTTGCTAAGATTAGACCATTTGGGTGCCAAGCCGATGCAAACGAGTAGTCTTTGTGGCCTTCGAGGCTTGAAATGACCTGAAATATGTCCCCAGAATGATTTATAACACTTGAATGTGGATGGAAAATAAATAAACTGATAAGCTTTGAAGATGTTTCTTAGCTGTAGGTCTACACTGTATCTAGCCTAGGACTGAATGTAGCAGCTCAGCGAGGGCTGGGTTTATAAGGATATCTCAACATATTGTTTTGGGTGTGGATTTTCTAGAGTTTGGTTGGGCATTTGTTTAATAGTTGAGAGTCTTTCACTAATCAAAGTCTCTTTTCTGTGTATCCAAGTCTCTAGTTTTCTTACAGCTTTTGTTCTTATTATAAAGCAGTAGGGTACTTACTTTCCCAGACTGTGAGTCAGAGATCAAGCATTCTGCACTATCCCCGAGTACTGCGAGCATTTTTCCATCTGGGCTCACTGAGGTATTCTGCAAAAATATATTAGAGTTTTTATAGTTAGAGAACTTTGGCCGCAAGAGAATTTTGATTTTGGTGGATGGAGTGGAGTGTAGCATGGAAACTCACATTGACAGACCAATCAAAAGGAAATTCACTGACATGTGTAAAGCTCTGAGCATCGAATATCCGAATCTTACGGTCGTTATTTGCGGTTATAAACCTAAGGGCTCCACTGCAGTAAGAAGAGAAGAAGAAACTCTTCAGTACGACTTGAGAATGATACATAAAACCTCTAGAAATTTCAAGGAACTCGCTGGCCCTTTCATACCTCGTACTTCGGTATAAATCAACTGTGTTTGTTATGGCATTATCTTCTGTTGTTAATCTTGTGGAGAAAGCAATCCCAGGCTGATTTACACACTGGAGAAAGAGAAGAGTAATACAAATTAGATGATATGGTTATTAGGTATATATTATCTACTTGGTAAAAGCAATGACGATTCGAAGAGCATGTGAACCTTGCAGAGAAGCTCCCCGTTGAATCCTCCTAATAAGATTAGATTTTCTTTGACTGCCATGCTGCTAACTTGCACCCTGAAGAGTGGTTCAGACAACAATCCAGGTAGTTTCTGGGAACAAATCAAAGCAGGAACTAAGGTCAAATCTAAAAAACTAAATCTTGCAGTACTTTCATGGATGGATTTCAAAGCTCTAACCAAAGTAGGGGTGACTGATCTGGCAACGTTAATTACTTCTTTCCCTCTCTGGAGTAGAGATGACCAGTGCATGACTGAATAATTTTGCATTAGATATATATCATGCTTTGATGTCGCCCATACCAAGTTCCGAAGCTGTAAAGGACGAAAATGAAGGATCGATAACACACCATAAAAGAAGAAACATGAAAACAAGATTTCCTTGTATATGATAATATGGTAAGTACCACTTTGCTGCCAATTTGACTTTCTCTCATTCTTTCTAATGGACTCAATCTATAAACTAAAGCCATTATATGTGGAACAACGTTGTTTACTCAAAATGATTAACTTGTTTATAAAATCTGATTGAGTAAAACGTCATCCCATGAACAGACCAACGATATGCCATTGCACGAAATGTAAGAACGGAGATATGCTAGAAAGTGAATGACTCAAATTTCCAAAACTCCGTAAATCAAATAAAATACATGCATACAAAGCCGTATGATGCCAAAAGAAACACAACTTGATCTGGAAAAATGGTTACAGGGATCTCTTAAACGCGCAAACATTCTCCTATCATACCCAATAGATACCGTTATGGTGCTGACTGCTCAGACATTACTCCCAACTGCATTAGAGGCTGAAATAAAAGAACAATATTCCTAAATGCCACAAAGTATAGACCAATATTTTTATAAGCCATAGTCACATTAGAAATAATCATACCGTAGATCTGCAACACAGGATATCTGCTAAATACGGTCCAACAATTACCTAGTAAATGATTGTTCTAACCCTCACTGTATTCCTAGTTATATATTACTAAGATTTAGGCAGAAAAAAAAAACAGTTAAGCATGAACTGAAACATTAACTCTACCACATAAATCCAATACTTTTTTTTGTTCGATTGGCTGATAAAGTCATCCCATGCAGCTCTGATATGGTAAACTTAACATTAAGGACTTTTTAGGACCTTTAGAAAAGCAAAATATAAATACAATCATCCTCTGAAAGCTCTGCAAAAAAAAGGATTAAGGTGAATAGAAAACCAAAGTGCAGGCCATCGATTTCTGGAAGGGTAAAATTAAGTTGAATGCAGAAATTCAGAATTGAGAAGAGGATAGTATCACCATTGTTGTTGGTGGTCATGGACTGTACTCAGAAACCAATTTAGTAAAAAGGTACCTGCCCATAGATTGTTATACTTCAGAGAAACAATGCTAAAACTCAACTAGGTTTTGCAATTCATAGATTATTCCGATGAGATGCATTTAACCTATGTCTTAATTATCTACCAACTAAACCAATATTGAAGAGAATGTTGATTTAATCCAATAAATGATGCAAGACAATATGTATTTCTCCGAACATGTAAATTAGAAAAAAGTTTGGTCTTTTACATAGAGGAACAACTAAAATGCCGGTAAGTAGACACAAAATCTCTACCTGAAAATGCACAATTGTGGATGTAACAAGCCTTGTGTTGAATTGGAAGTCGTAAAAGCTCTTTCCTTTCTCAACTTGCAGGTATTCCTATTAATTGTGACAGTTTCATACACAAGTACTTATTGATTAGGAATGAAATCACAGGGAGTCTATTAAAGTCAATGGGCTACACTGACCTTATCAAGCTTTTCCCGAGATTGAGGGGTTAAGATATTGACAAAATTGTCATATTCTTTTAGCCTTGTCTCACGGAATTCCTCTCTTGTGTATTTAAACCCTTCCCATGGAATCCCTTGAATGTCTTTGCCATTTCTTGCCTCTTGAGCTGATGTATCAGTCTCTGACTTCCTCTGCTACATAAAGATAAGCTTTTAAGATCATTCTCAAACACAAGACTTTAGACCCACAAAATTTATTACAAGAAATCGTTACCGTTTCATAATCATCCTCAAAATCAGAGTCAGAAAGATAGGAGGAGACGCCATCACTGTCGAATGTTGCCATTAACCTAACAAGTGTGAACACTACTCGATCAGACAAAGAAACCAACAACCATACAATACTTGGTCACCTCCAGACAACCATAAAGGAGGAATTTTTTTACCTTGTCTGCGATGGGGTTCAAAGGTCAGAAGACAGGAAAAATGGAGACTTTTTCGGTTGAAAAGGAAATAGAACCAAGAATCTCAATTCTCAGACAAACAGAGATCACGATCCGACAAGGTGCAGAAGAGAATTAGAGCAGATGTTGTCTAGAAAGAAGACGACTGTGGAAGAGTCGAGAAGAAGAGAGGGAGAATTGGGTGTACTTGCCACTCGGCAGAAGTAGAGAGGACTTGGAAGATCTTCCTCATATGTTCGATAAGGAAGCAAACAAGGCGATAAAATATGGGCCCTTCTATGCAAATGTATCAACTCGAATTACTTACCATATATACATACACTTGAAACGAATAACAATATCTCTATCATCAGTATATTTTAGAGCATGAGAGTTATAGATAATAATTATAAACTGTCTAAATAATCCCTTTTGTTTTCTTAATTTCGGAAAAATAAATACAAAAAAAATTCGGATCTGGTTGTTTTTTTTTTTCTTTTTGAAAACTTCGGATATGGGTGTTTTGGTTGCAAGTTTAGTAAGAGATATGAATGACATGTTTAGCTGCAGAGATAATAAGTCGAGTATTATGACATAATAACTACTTTTAATGAACTTTTTCATTCTTAAAACAAAGCAATGACATAAATTATAATTCATGTCAATTTCATATAAATTAAACGCTAAAAATGTTTTTCAGTTAATAGTGTAGATGATCATTTTCAAATCAGAACTTCTTTGATGCTATTTGTGAGCATTATCCTTTAAGAAAATCTAGATTTTTCCTTTAAACCAAAATTTTCTTAAAATGAAGTGTAGAGGAAGTATAATATTTTAAGGTTTGTTCCAAATTAAAAGTGTTGAGAAGCTAACACGTATTAGAGAAATTTGACATGTACTCAAGAGGCTGTTTGACTCGCAGCTTCCATTCTCTTCTCTCCATTTTCTTTCTGAAGAGTTGAAGTAGAAGATGACTCGCCAGTCTCTAGCTACCAGATCCGTTGCTTGCATGCCCATGAAAGAGTAAGTTTCATTTTTCATAGGGCTAGTTCTTTTTTTTTTTGGTCGAATATAGGGCTAGTTCTATTCTGGTTTTATTCATAATAGATTGGTATTTGATGGGTTGTCTTGTTCTTGAGTTATGTGGTGTTAGGTAAATGTGACTTGAATCAACCGTGAACCAAATTTGTGGCTATCCTAAGACCACCCATAATAGAGACACATGAATGTGTGTCTCCAGAATTTTTTAACATTAAATTTAATATAAATTTATCTAAAGACACTCTACATAAATTGACACTCCATTGCACACTCATTAAAAAGTNTTTTAAGTTTAAAAATTAATTAATTATTGTAAATGTGTTTTTAATCTTAAANTTTTAATATAATAAATATTGGATTAAACTTATGAAATATAAAAAATAAAACTATATAAGTTATACACAACATAAATATATTACATTAAAAAACTTTTAAACATATATTACATTATGAAAATAACAAATAGAAACATAAATATGGATAAAATAAAGAAAAAACA